GATCCTGACGGTCTACCTCCTCGACGGCCTCACGGGGTGGATCCTCGGCGGCAACGAGGGGGAGAGGGTGGGCAGCTACCCGCTCAGCTGGATCTTCAAGCTCTACTTCATGCTCACGTACCAGACCTACGTGCGGGCCTTGTACGCCCGCCTGCGCAGCCCGGGCCAGTTCATCATCCTCCAGGTCTTCTCCAGCACGGGGCTCATCATCGTCACCCCGCTGCTCATGTCCGCGCCTTTGCACTGGTTTTTGACGGTGACCGGCCTGAACGGGCAGACGTACGCGTCTTACCAGAAGATGTGCGTGCGCAACGTCTTCATCCGATTTTTGGCGGAGAACGCGAGCATGCTCGCCTTCCTGGGGAGCGTGGTTGTGCTGCACTTTGGTGCGAACAAGGATGTGTACCCGTACTTCGCGTTCGACGACGAGGTGGAGGACGGGTATACCTTTGAGCTGACGTTTTACGCCTCCAGCGTGACGTGGGCGTGCGAGCTTGTGGCTAGCTTCGTGGTGGCCGGGCTGATACAGTGGATTTACGGTGTGAGCGTCGTGACGGAGGGCAAAATGGATCTGGCGGTTTGGCCGGAGCTGCTGCCTACTAGTGTGGCGGTTATGCTGCATGTCTTGCAGAATATGATCTTCTCGATTATTCGGCTTCAGTTCCGGTGAGGGCGGTTTTGAGTTATAGGAAGGGGTGCCCGGGTGGGGCAGGCGAGGGGGTTGTGAGGGCGACGAGGGGGCTTCATGGCTTTGGCTGATGAGGCAGGTCGTGTATCGTGTTGTACGTTCCATTTGTATAGAACGGCGGGGCCATATGAACCTGGAGAGCCGTGTGGGAGAGAGGCAGAAGTCGAGGAGCATGATACCCTTTTTCCTTTTCGTTCGCGTTTTCTAGAATAGCCATATAAGTCCAAGACTTTTAGCAATAATCACTAATACCGAAGGTCAATGACCGAATTTCAGAGACACCAACAGGTCTTTCAAGCCTGACGATTGGAGACTTGGTGCCTAACAGAAGGGGACACAGGGGCTGGGGCATCTTCAAGGTCACCGGAGTTGACGGTATCATGGTGATGGGACTCCGGTGTTGCTAGGGCCTCTCTTTAACATACAAGTCCATGACCTATCATTCCATCTAACTGCTCCATGTCGCCTCCATACTCAACCCATGCCGCCCTGTCCTCCTTGCCAGGCAAGTACAGGACCTGATAGAATCAGTAACATATGTACTCCCTGTGTATACCGCAATAGCCATTGATGTTATCCGAAGCAGGACGGCAAGGGGAATTGTAGGACCCGTCGCCGTTCTCGATGTATAGGTTCCCGCCGCATCCTCTGAGAATATATTCGTGGCCGTTCGACAGCTTGAACTTGGTGTTGCAGCCGGGGCCCCAGTCCGCCGGTGCGCCGGACTGCCCGTTGCAGAGCTGGTTTCCGTTCAGGTTATCGAGCCACGCCGCTGTTGGAAAAGGTCAGTGACCGCCACTATGTTTGGGGGTTCGGGAGGTTTCTAGGCAACCGTACCGGAGTATGTCTTGCCGTTGAAAGCTTCAATCCTGCCGACTGCGATCGTGCCAAGGACCTGGCCGGAGAGGCACGCGCCCAGGGCAACGAGGAACGCGGTCTTCATATCTGGATACTGGCAAGTAATATGATGGTTGATGTCGTGAAGTCGGAGAGCGCGAGTGATGCTGCTGCAGCGTGGCGATGATGGCTGTACTTCCTTTGTGAAAGGGAGATCGTGCCGTTTAAATACTTAACTCGACTTGTAGCTAGTACACTGTTCCATGGCAACTCTACTTAGGTGAGCTTTGTCCTGGCTTCTCATGGGCTCGCTCGTAGGCATCTGCTTTGCCCGTCAGCATGCGCCTCCAGCCCGTCAGCTCCAAAACGAATCTGGGGTCTAGATTCGATTCATTGTGAGGACGATTGCGAGGCGTCGTCCCATTAATAAGCTGCTGAATCTATATCTTGAACGAGCGTGCCAATGTCTTCTCGTTATTCCCCATGATCCCCAGACGCGGGAACGGGTTGGGCTCGCTTAGGCGGGCTCCGCGGAGCACTGAAGGATCACAGCGTCACATCGTCACGTTGTCATTGTCCCACAGCATATGTACAAGCAGCAAGAGGGAATTTCCCGGGTAGAGGTATTGCTTACTTCGAGGATGCTTCGTTCCTGTATTCGCTTCTACTTTTCAAGATGCTGACTTGTCAACGACTGTGCCCCGAGTTCTTGTACACAGTGCTGAACCGCTGGCTTGTACTTAATGCCATCCGTGAACCGAAGGCTGCCGTTGCGAAGACGTGCTGCGAAAGCAGCAAAGCACAAGTTGACCAACATGGTCATGTCAAGCTGATAGCCTAGCCCCACGCCCGAATCACGGAATTCAAGACAATCCTTCAGAGTAGATCACGATCCCGGCCATCCAAACACCGGCCCCGGGTTCAGTGATCACTCTGGTGGACAGCCGTTGGCGACAGGTACAATATAGAAACTCCATAGGTCTTAAAACATGCATTGCTTTCGCGTGCTCTCCGGGAATCCTATGCCAGCAGAGGCTTTGGGGTTCCTCGGGTTAGATTATAGTCGTGGATACAGAATAGCTGCGAGCAAGGTAGACTAGACCAGACCTCTGATGTCGGCTAGTGTGCGTAAACTCTTGATCGAGGGCTCATGAACGAGGAACTCACCTCCTAGGGATATCTGTAAGACATGATAACTGTTACACTTCCTAACTTCGGCATATCATTTGAATATCCGCGTAAGAACGGAACCCTGGACAGCGCATCTATATTACCCGTCTTACGTGATCTTACTAATGCCGAGTCTAATCTCGTCTACCTTATGTATATCCGCCCAGGGGCAAAGGCAAGTGAGCTACATATTCTACCGAACCGACCGTATCCCCGACCCTTCTATTGGACAAGTGTATCGCATCCCCGACTGGCCGCAAAAGCAGTCTGTACATAAGATTCCCACGGCGTACTACACTGGAACCCGTCGAAAGTTATTTTATTACCCCTTCCTCCGAGGAAATCACGGGGCACTCGACGGTCAACTACAGCTATTGCTCTCTCCGCTCGACCGCTCTCGCATCTGGATTCCTTAAGCGAGAGGATGCACTCCTATTTTGTGCACTCAGCTAGGCCAAATGGCTGGGCGCTCACAATCTGGTGTGCGGCTGAAATATAGGGACGCTTGGGAGGTCGGTGACAAGAGATTTTACATTCCAGAGTCATACCGGCCTGAGCATCTGAGCGACTGAAAAGCAAGATACCACAAGTACTTATATAGACCCACCCGAGCAGCTCTGCTCCTTGCCAGGCCAGAGCATGTTCTCAAAAATTTGAATCTTGAATGTCCCCAGCTCTTCTTCCCATCATGATGATTCCATTAGTGCTGGCTCTGTGCTTCTCATTCAGTGCTCATCCTGGTATCCTTTCAGTGTCGAGGCAGCTTCCTCGCCGCCCACGTTGAGATGGGGCAAACCTCGCAGCCGAGATGCCTGGAGCCAAGACGGTCCTACTAGACTATACTGCAATACCATCAATCGCAATGCGGCCGATTGCGCAGAGACGTTTCTGGGGCATGGTGCAGACGCCTCACGCGCGGGTACAAGCTATGTGTCTCGTGCAGCAGCGCATACGTGTCTGGACAAATTCCGTGCGCAGACAGAGCGTCTAGACGCCTTATACGAATTGTTCATGTCGATCTGGATGCTATGGCGGCGAGAGCATCGGGAGGCACCAACTCGCACAACGACAAGCCAGATGATCGTTTTCCGGACGGCGCGGATGGCTTTGCTCTTGGGCTTGTTTTGCTGGACGCATATGAGCTGGCCGCAGCATATAGGGATGCCCGCGAAAACCCGAGCAGCGTGGGTGTCGCTCCAGATCTCGATTGTCACGGTTCGTCCTGCAGGAACGCAGCTGGTCAGCATACCGGTTCCCACGGGAGCCCGACCCCTGAGCCAAAGGAGCCCGAGCCAGAAGCCGAGCCGCCGGAGTTTGAACCAACGGAACCTGAGATCTTTGAGCTATATTACAGTGTACCGAGCCGCTTGAGAATATGCTGTTAGTAACGCCCATGTTACGCGACGAGACATTCAAGTCGGCCATGGAACGATGCCAAGAAGACGAAGAACAGAAGCTATGGCGTTCAGTTGCTGCGAAGACCATCGACCCAGACACCATACCTCGGGTTGTATACGGCATAGTGTTGGTGCATATGCAAACATGAAACAAAGAGGGTATTACCGACTGAAGTCATACTTAGATGTCGCTCCTTCCTTCATACATAAGAGGCAAGGAGGGGATAGACACAGAATCTAATATGCTCGTTTTGCTCGATTACGTTCTTAACTCAAACACATAAAGTACCGGCATGGTTCTATTAAATACACTCATTAACGCTTTTGATTTGTTCACCAGTGATCATATTTGACCCTTTTCAGATCGATCATAGCCTCAGCAACAGGATGCCACCCATCGTGGACGACCACCTCCAAATTCCCACGCCTACTCATGCTCTACGGAAGGTTTCCAATGCCGATTACGCCGCCTTCAACCGACTGTATCAACAGGTTCCCGGCGTCATAGCCCACTATCGACCGCCTCACATCAATCCCGCGGACATAGATTACGATACCGCAACCGGACATGACCGAAGACTTCGTGGATGACATCATCGAGGAGAACGACTTAGCCCTGGGGAACATTCACTACTGTACTCCCCAAGATACCCAGAAGGCCACTCGGGACATGGTCTGCCTAGCTATTGCCCAGGAACGCAGAGACAATGGCTATGCCCTAGAAGGCAACAATAGGGATGGCTATGGCCTCGATAACCATGATCGTGGAGTCATGGTGGATATACGCAAGCATTTCAACGACAACCACGTGTTGAACTAAATCCTAATCAATACCTATCGCTAACTCCACATAGGAAAAGAAAATAACCGAGTGCAAATTTTGGCAAAAGAAAAAAACCAAAAGAAATCGTCTAGGACAGGATTCGAACCTGCGCGGCCGAAGCCATAACCTGTACTACTGATGATAGCAGGGTTACCCGTTAACCACTCCGGCACCTAGACCGTATTGGTACCTAGACCGTATTGGTTGTTGTTCGATGACAAACCACCTCATTCATTCACTTGATAACGTGCCCGCAGCTCTGATCAGATGAAATGGGCGCAGACTGCAGGTCATGACTCGAGTTTGGTGCCCGGCAATCGGGTTTGAGGAGGCAGATGCAGGAATTTGAAGAGTCCAGCCGGCAGCACCTGCCACTCGGGTTCTCTTCCCAATTCCATCTCGCAAACCCCGCTGAAAGAGTCACGGGATGACAGGGCAATGACATGGAAATCTTGCAGACAACCTACTTACCTTCATATGGCAGGACTGCACGAGGCATACCTTTCTCGGGCAGAGGCTGTACTATGAGCCCGCTGCGTCTCCAGGGCGGATATGCGGCCCGATAATTCGAAGGCCCAACCCCATACCACAACCAGTCAGGGAGGCCATTCAATGCTTCGACATGAGTAATGCCAGTTCGGAATGCGCTTGGGGTATCAGTATGGTTCTTTCTCTGGTTGTTTTGAGTCGCGGCTTCCGAGACAGTATCTGAATGGCCGGTGTCCTGTGCAGATACTTCGCCGTACTCCACAGTACAGGCCTTGCCATTGCGAGCGAGGTATCGCGGCCCGTGTTGAAGTATGCTCGGTTCCGGAGCTGGATGGATATGTCCTCGGCCGGCTGGTAAGTACAGATACTCCCTTGAGCTTGTCTCCCCCAACGAGCGGCGACGGTTGGTAATGATGAGCCGCTCCGAACAAAAAAGCCCCCTGTTCATTAACATTCATTTTCTGAGTTGTTGATTATACCAAACTGGTGCAACTCTTTGTCATCTGTGTCGCGAGCGGCGGAGAGGTATATTACAGCCGGGTCCGTATCATCACGGACCTGACCTGTTCCAGCATGCGCCTTATGGGATTACTTACCAGCCAAGACATCAATTGCTAGCGATGCTACGTGGGTTGATCACTTATTCGGGGGCATTGAGAGGCAAGAAAGTAGAGGACTGGGGCAATGCCACTGAAATGATTCTGAAAAGTTGATTATACGAACTTCGTCAACGTGTATTACTGATCAAGCACCGGGCGTCCAGCAGGACAGGAAGCGCCGTTGGACCACCGTACGGCGGTGTAATACCTTCTCCTTTTCCAAGCCTTGAGAGCGGTCAGAATTGGGTTGCTACCTAAGTAGACCATAATGCCCCTTGGGAATCGAAGAACATCAACGAGCATCTGACAAGCATTGAGCTCCCGGCCATGGGCGTTGAGCAGCAAACGAACCATCTCTCTACATTTCTTACACCTGCAGCCTCTTCAGCATGAAGGCCAGTACTCTTCTCAGCATGGTGCTGGGCGCCTGTCTCTCCGGGAAGACACTCGGCTCGGTAGCAATCGGTACCTTCGACAACGGCAGCGACAGAAAGACTTACGCCGGTATGACGGCTCAAACCCCAGCAACTTCCAAGTTCCTGAACAATTGACTGACTCCTTTTGCAGCCGCTTGGATCAACGAGGCAGACCAGGAGCAAGTGTGTGGTAACGGGGCAACGGCCCTGCCGGCGGTCTACGGTTCCGGGACCGACTTCTGCAACCACACGTTCAGGCTGTCCAACGGCTACACCTACGTCCTGCGGGGGTGCGGCGGCGGGACCCTGACGCTGCAGCACGGCGACGGCTTGTTCAACTCTGTCTGCCGACAAGCCGGTGACAGCTTCAACGGCTACTGTGGGATTCACAGGATATGGGTATGCGGTTGAGTCACGGCTCTCTCACTTCGGAAGTTTGGGAGTGTTGGGTATGCGTTGCAAACTTGGGGGCGCTGGCAAAGTGCAGTTGTTGCAGCAGGGTGTTAGTGGGAGCAAGTTGGGGGCAATGTGAAATAGGTATTCTGAAAATGTACTCTTTACTTCTCTATGAGCCTAGATTTGCAACAACTATGGTATAGTACTGACCCGTTAGCATCTTCGCAGATAGAAAACGTATCAAACCTGAGTGTGACATAAGGGAAATGATAAGGTCAACGATGATGAAGTACACAGGCGAGAGTTGGAGGACGGTTTTGGAGGAAGCTCTGGCGGTGAGGCTATATGCCTAGGTACCTGCCATTACGTGGTGCCCAGTTCCTTATGTATAAGGTAGCCTATAGAAGATCTTAACATGGACATATATACTGTGGTATGTAAAGAACCTAAAGCTCATCGTGTCCCTCCCTCATCTTCGGTTCCGTCTTTGCTCCCCTATTCGGGTCCCAATGCAGCCTTGATCGCCACCTCACCCAGTCCATCAAGCCAGTGCCGCTTGCCGGGCGTCTTTCCAGGCCCACCTGCCGGGGGTATTGCACCCAGCCTCTTCGTCGAGGCTCTACTACCCAAGATTGTGTCGCGGCCACTTTTGACGCCTGTCCATACGGCTTCGACAGCCTTCCTATCCAGAGGATCCATCTTACGTCCGGGTAGTCACGGTACGGGAGGGCCAGGCTCAAACATGCCGTCGAGAAGCTCCGGCCATGCGTAGCGCTTTCGAATCTCTTCCTCCGCCATCTTACACGCCTCGGGCTCATAAAGTTCGACTGGGCAGAGGGGAGAATACCGCTTCAACGCTGCAAACTCGTCTTTCCACTCGGGCGGCACGGGCGTCGAGTCGCGCTGCTCTTTCTAGTTTTTGCAAAAGGCAACACCGTAGAACTCAATGTCACAAACGCCGCGACGAAGGAGATCCTCGGCATCCTCCACGGTCATCTCACTGTCAAGGTTCACACCACGCAACATCTTCGCATGGCATTTTGCTAGCAGACTTTCAGTTCATCACCTCCCCCGGAGAAACCCCTTCCTCAGCCAGCGTCTTCGCGACCAACCCCACCCGATCAGCAATAATAATGTCCACCCCCGCCTCGCTCTGAATCCTCACATTCTCCGGGACGTTATTCAGCTCCCCGTACGTCGCGCACACCAACCCTCTATTCTTGACATACCCCACCAGCCGGGGACAGAGCAGCATCGGCTCGCACGCGAACACGACGCCCGCCAGGTTCCACCTCCGCGCGAAGCGCACGGCCACCTGCACGCTCGCGGCCCGGCGCTCCATGTCGATCATGGGCACCTTGCCGGCGTTGGTGATGAAGAAGACGGGGAAGGCCTTCTGCTTGATGGAGAGGAGGATGCAGATCTCGGGCGTGAAGGAGGAGAGCATGATGCGGCGGTTCGGGGTGGCGTGCTCGTGCAGGGCGAGCAGGGCCGTGTCGACGAAGGTGTTTAGGTCGATTGCGACGGGGGCGACGTTGGCTGCTGTTGCTTCGTGGAGGCGGGGGTATTCTGACTGACGTTAGTGGATGGAAAGGGGGTGGTTAGGTGGGTTAGGGGGTGACGGACTGATTTCGATGTCGAAGCCGACGTCTTCCGGTACCTGTGCAAGGAGTTCCTTGAGGGTGGCGAATGAGTCTTGGACAAAGTCGCCGCGGGTGTTGGGCTTGTAGCCTTTGAGTTTGAAGTCGACCGTGTGCTTCATCCTGTCCCGCACCTGGATGGCGCCGGCTTCGAAGTGTCCTCCTACCGAGCGGGAGCGCCCGCGCTTTCGGTCCGGCTCATCCCGCGAATGGGTCGGGCCGAGAACAGACAAAGGGTTGCCGTGGGGAGACTGGATGTTGCTGGCGTACATGAACTGGTCGAGCGTGAGGTCGTGGATGGGGACGTCTGTTCCCGACTCGCTCAGCGAGAAGTCGTGGAAGATCACCGCCTCGTGGTCCTTGGTGACCTGGACGTCGAACTCGACGAACGACGCGCCCAGCTTTGCGGCGGAGAGGAAGGACTCGACCGTGTTCTCTCCAATCTGGAGGTACTCGTGAGTTTTCAAGTTCATTCCGAGGCCGCGATGACCGACCAGGAATGGTGGCTCGGTGGGCTTTCGCACGAGGTCGACTTCGCGGGGGGTCTGGAGATGTGGGAAGTGGTTGACGACCATGTAGGTGAACGTCACGGTACCATCGCAGGTCTCCTTACCTCGGTGGTCGATGATAGGAATCGTCTGCTCGCGGATGAGACTCTGGCGACTGGGCCCGAACTGCCTGGTGTTGCCTTCCAGCAAAGCCATGCCAGTCCCCGAAAGAAACTTCTCGTTTTCAGCCTTACCAACACCGTCGATAATCCTGAACATCAGCTTTAGTTCGACCCCAGCGGGAACCGAAAAGACAAAAGGGCAATTGATTTGGTCGTCCAAAATGGGCATTCGTACGACGTGCGGCCCTTCCCCGGTCCCTGGTGCCGAGACCTCCAGTGCGCACGCCAAACCCTCAAGGTTAGTAGGCTTGTGGTCCGAAGAGCAGTAGAACAGGTCAACGCCAGTGACTCCCTCGTTTAAACGCTCGCTGCCTAGACTGGCAATGATGATCCGCTCGCCTTCCGGGCAATGGACCGTTGGGATGGTGATTTTATCTGCAGGCATACGTCCAGGTCCGTTCTTCATACCGCAAACGGATGAAGGCTCGAATAGTGCAGCGACAGCTAGATGGCCGTTGAGGACTGCGTACTCTTTCGCAGTCCAGCCAAGATGATCAGTCCTCGTGTGACTAGCCAGACCCTCAATGCTCAAAAGATGTTTCACAACATCGTAGTGACCCTGAGCGCAGGCGTGAAACAGAGGTGTCCAACCTCGACTATCCGCCCACCCGTTATCTTCAGACTTTGCCAGGACTCTCCTAGATTCTTGGTCCGGTGGCACATCATCACGTAGTAGATATCCGACGGCATCCATGCATCCAACTTGGGCAGCTGCACGGACAAATTCGCCCACGCAACCCGACCTTCTCAGGCCCGCTACGCCGCCCAGGCGGTATGCCAAAGTCTTGCAGCAAAAGGCACTGCCGTCGTCCATCAAAGCATTGGGCATGTTTCTCCCTGCAACTTCTTCCAATACGAACCGAGGCAGATGACGGTCGAGATCAGCCAATGTCTCTAACTGCCGCAAGCTTGTATAGTCGTGCATAACGGCTATATCGAGTGGTGTTAACCCATCGATGTCCTTGAACC